GGTGCAGCACCCTCCTCTGCCGGTGCAGCACCCTCCTCTGCCGGCGGAGACGGGACGTGCAGCCCGGGCCGCCTCCGGAACGGGCCATCCCCCCGGACCGCTCCGCTCGCGCTTCAGAAGGTACCGGTTGCACCGCACGAAGGTGGGAATTCCCTGCAGCTGCAGTGTCCCTTCTGCCAGACCCTTCCCCAGCCCAGGGGAAAGCGGGAAGAAACTAATTGTTAAATAAAACCTACTAACCTGAGAGTTGTGTGTGTTTCCCGTGGGGTTGTCAGCCCTTTTCCAAGGTGCTGTGAGGGGGCACAACCCCCCCGGCCCGCCTGTCACGGGAAGAGTGACCCCTTGCAACAGCCTTTTTAGGATTTACTGCCTTTTGGCATATTTGTTTATCTTAATGGCCAAATTTTTACGCCAAGCAAAAATTGGCAAACTTGGTAGGAAGTTTGTTTTCCTTACAGCACCTGGAGGATGCTCAGAGCTGCTGCACCGGCACCCTGAGCAGAGCTCAGCCCAGCAGGGATGGGCACAAGACCAGAGCTCCAGCGAGCCCTGCTCTGCTCCACAAGTTGGTGCATTCACATCCAACTTGGTTCTGGCGATTCCAGCACCAGCTGTTCCCTGTCCTGTCCCAAAGCAATGCCATCCTCCCCAAGACCCTTCCCAGCATCACTTTGCTCCTCACTCCCTAAAGGAAATCAGGAACAGGCACTTCTTGCCCCAAGATCCCCTACACAAACCAGGGCACACAGAGGGAATTTTGCCCTTTAAACTTTCAGGAAATGGTCTGCAAACCTGCTCACCACGTACCCAGGCAGGTGCTGAGCAGTGTGACATGCAATGCTCAGGAAAGCTGAGGATCTTTTACCCATCTGGCTCTTCTACTGCCTTTTGGAACCAGTGGATTCCTCAAGACAGGAGTGCAGTATTTTAGGTGTAAGAACCACCCAACAAACCAATGGTGATACCGTGTAGGATAAGCCAGAAACACAAACAAGGGTCTAAACCCCACAAACTCTGCCAGCCTGCTCTCACTAGATTTTCCTATGAGCCTGTACCACAGTCCTGCTGATCAATGAATCCTTGCAGCAGCCAGCAAGGGACAGAAGCGTTGCCTCCATTTTAGACATGGAGAAAGAGGGAAGGATGCCACCCCACTGAGGGGACACGGGTGTCCCAGCCCCAAAGGCAGCCACCAAATAACACACCCACAGCTCTACAGAGCAAAAAGCTTTTCAGGGCCCTCCCTCCCTTCAACACTCCCCAAACCACACCCAAACCAGGACAAGGGTGCGAAGGGGCAGCCTAAAGTCCAAAGCACCACTCTCCTGCAGGTTAATGTTTGCTGAATCACAGGAAGTGCAAGGAAAAGGTCCCACAGATACCAGCCAGCCTGAGCAAGCCAAGAATCAGTCCCAACCTGCGGGCACTCCCAGCCCCATTGCCAGCTGACACGTCCACAGCCCCTTCACCAGAGCCACAGAGTTTGTCTCACTCCTGCCTGTACTTCTGCAGAGGGATGGGTCTGCTCCTGAAGATTTTCACCCCCTTGCTGGGTCTGGCCTTGGCCGTTTATTTTTATTCAGCACCCGAGAATTTCAGCGAAGGTAAGGCCTGGGGAACACAGGCTCCACAGGCACCGCCTGGGCCGGCTCAGGGCAGCAGAGCACGGGCTCTTTGAAGGGCTTTTCAGAGCAGAGCTGGAAGAGCCCAAGCACGGGAGGGCTGAGGGCTCAGGAGGGGGCGCCGGCAGCCCCCGGTGCGAGGGGGTCAGAGCATCCTGCACCGCACGGGAAACGGGATTATGCTGGGATCTGCCGGGATGCAGTGTCTGCCCTCAGCAAATGATTTCTTTGGGAAACATTCAGTTAACCACTTCAAGCCTTAAATCCTTTTATTAGTCAACTCCAGCCTTTTCCAAAAGCCACTCCCAGCCCAGGCTGGATGCAGAGCTCAAGCCTGGCACACACTCCCCACCAAACTGGGATTAAGGCTCCAGTTGGGGTCTGCAGGAGGGGCACACGCTGCAGCGGGGGTGCTGCCACCCACCTCTCCCTGCGCCCCAAGGCGAGGGGCAGAGCTGCAGCAGCCACGTGCAGGGGGATGATGTGGGCTGTGCTCTGTGTCCTCCCCTCCAGAGATGCTGCGGGGGAAGCGGGTGATCGTGACGGGCGCCAGCAGCGGCATCGGGGAGCAGATGGCCTATCACCTGGCACGCATGGAGACCCACCTGCTGCTCACCGCGCGCACCGAGGCCAAGCTGCAGAAAGTAAATGGCAAGCAGGGTGTGCTGGGCTGCCCAAGTACATTCGCCACTCAGAACCCCACAACAGCAGATATTCACCCCAGCTTGGGCACGTGGGGATGTCAAATACCCTACAGATCCAGCCCCACAAGCCTGTTCTAACACACATCCCCCCCACGCCACAACAAGCAGCATTTCCAACGCTGACAGCAGGGCATTGCTTCCTCCTCAGTCTTTGGCTGGGAACACCAGTCTGCTCAAGTCCTGGTCTGATCAATCCTTGCCCAAACCTGCTTTTGCATCACACAGAACAGAATCAAAATTAAGCAACTATATCCCTATTTATAAATACTAAATATTTGGCTCCGATGTGCCATCGTTTAGAAACATTTCTCTGAGCCATGAAGGGAGGAGGATTTCCAGTGGGAAAGGGAGATGCTCTGCCCATCCACCCCAAAACAGCAGCAGCCTCCATGGGGCTGGGGGTCCACAGAGGGGGGTCTGTCCCCAGCACTGCTCCCACTGTCACTGCAGGTCGTGGAGCGCTGCCTCGAGCTGGGCGCTGCCTCCGCACGCTACGTGAGCGGCTCCATGGAGGACACCACGTTCCCCGAGGTGGTGGTGAAGGAGGCTGAGAACACCTGGGGTAGGTGGTGGGAACCTGCCCCTCCTGACTCCCCAAAAACACCCCACACTACATTTTTGGGGCCATCCCAGCCACCAAGAAGCTGCTTTGCTTCAAGATGCCGGTTGCTAATAGCAAACACATTCTGCTTGCAGGAGGCCTTGACATGCTCATCCTAAACCACATCGGGTTCAGCTACTTCAACTACTTCAACGGGGATGTTGGGCACGTACGAAAGCTCCTAGAAACAAACTTCCTCAGCTACGTGGCAATGACCATGTCTGCCCTGCCCATGCTGAAGGAGAGTGAGGGCAGCATCGTGGTGGTTTCATCCATAGCAGGTGAGCACACAAGGGGCCAGACTCTCACTGCCCAATC